TATATATATATATATATATATATATATATATATATATATATATATATATATATATATATATATACATACACACAGAATGAAGAAAGCCATAAATCAACATGCTTTTCAAATGCACTGGAGGGAACAGCAATAGGTAGGTGGCAGCAAAGCAGGAGAACTTCTGCTATGATACTCTTAGCCTCCGGGTTGGTAGACACTAAAGGTCTTTTATATACTCCGGAAGAATTTACCCAAGAGTCACAAGGATATTAGGTTACACACAGAGGTGGGCACAAAAGGCTGTTTTTTAAAGATTTATTTAATTAGTGTGTGTGGGTGTTTTGCCTGCCTGTATATCTGTGCACCGTGTGTAGGCCATTTCTGTGGAGGCCAGAAGAGGGCGGTGGATCCACTGGAACCTTGGTTATAGATGGTTGTGGGTCCCCATGTGGGTGCTGCATATCAGACTGGGGTCCTCTGGAAGAGCAGCCAGTGCTTTGAACTGCTGAGCCATCTCTCCAGCATTGGGGATTGGCTGCTTCAGAGGCTCAGATAACCCAGGATAATTTGGCTCTGGCTCTGCAACGTTTCAGCCTCTCCATAATCACAGAAGCTCTAGTCAATCAGTTTGGAGAGGTTCAGTGGTTCAGTTCAGGGTGGTGGCTTTTCAGGCATGTCAGCTAATGCCATGGCAACAGTTTTGTATTTTGAGTTACCATTGTTAATGATAATGCAACCAATTATGACAAAGTCATGATAACGTTAGAATAGATTCCTGTGGGTCGAGGTGGCTGAGTGATTAAGGTGATGGACTGTTAGCACATGCTCTTAAGTAAACTGCATCTTTCCCAAGACAGAGAAATGAACTTACATAGAGTGGCTCTCATTTCGTCATGTACTCAGGGAAAAGTTGCTCTTTTTCATACAGTTTAGAGTGTGTATATGGATGTCCACCTTGATGAAATTCTGCACACATCATTCCTGGAAACTGTGAGAACCTTCAAAATTAGGGGACGCTTTTGCTTTTCCTAAAGTGAATTGGTGATGGTTGATTTTGATCATCTACTTGAGTAGATTTAGGGTGTGAATGAGCTACAGCCTCCGTGAGGGCTTTTCCTGGGAGGGTCAGCTGAGAGGGGAAAACCACCCGACTATGGGTAGGATCATCCCTATGGGCTGGGTCATGGGCTGAATGAAAAGGGGGATGGCAGAGTCTGCCTGAGTGCCCACAGTTTGAATCCCACCTCCCTTAAGTAGCTTCTTGTCAGATATTTTGTTGGTCAGGTGTAGAAAGTAGTTAATAGGGAAAACTGGTGGGAAAGCTCGTCACGGCTGCAGTGCGGTGCTCAGCCTTGGTCAGCACGGGGATGTGAAGGAGTTTAAAGCTTCAGGCAGCACAGCATAGAGTGCTGCTCATAAGGCCCAGCGGAATATTCCGTTGGGGGTTTGGAAAACCAGAGTGTCGGTGAAAATGTACGTCATGCAAAAACTATGTGTATGAACTTTTAAGGGGCCAAAAGGCTGCGTCAGGAACTACATTGTGAGACATTTGTGTTTCACCTGATGGCTTTTTGCCTGTGTCCTGAGCATCTGAGTGAGGCTAAATTCACAGGAAGTGGGCTAAGCTGTTGGGAGGAGGCAATGCCAGGACAATAAAATATTTGGGCTGTGGCATGGCTACTGGCTGCTGGTTTTAGTCAGGTTTACAGTGTGTATGTGTGTGTGGGGGGGGTATAGGTAGGTCAAGGGAGAGAGAGACAGACAGACCGACTAGAAGTGTATGGAAAAATGTGTAGCTTGTGGAGGAAAGGAATGTGGGTGCAGGTAAACACGTGGGCAGCACAGACAAGGCAGGTGTGGGCAAAGCAGCTCTCACTGTTGAAAAGATTAGTGTAATTTAGGACACACCTCCTACACTTTGCAACTGGGACAGTAGGAAATTGCCTTAACAGCGATACCCCACCCCTCGGAAGCTCCAGGGGATAATAATAAAAATGCATTTGAAAAACTGCTGTCAGAAAGAGAATGCCTGGACCAAGACAAACCTGATCAAGCAGGACCAGCTGAACATGGGCTTCCCGGGTTCAGGAACAAAGGCACCGTAGCTGCTGTCCAAGGAAGGGGCCGGGAGACATCATGAGTGGGCAACAGACCTTGACATCACGTGTGCTGCTGAGCTCAGAGGCCTCCAAGATGTCAAAGTGAGGAAAGTTCCAGAAAGCTACCAAGGCCAGGCCACCTGCAGCTGGATCTGATTCCTGGCGTGGAGCTCCTAAGCAGGCAGCCTACGGAGCTGAGGAGGTCAAGCCCAAGTTGCAATGGGGAACCCAGGATTGGAGAGACCAGAAAAGTAGGACATTCCTTGAGGGAGGCTGCAGATACGCTGTGCAGCTGGCCCTGGAAAGATGCCATGGTGGCAGCAAGTGACAGTGCTGCCAGGTGCCTGCTGGGGGCTGACAGGGGGCTGCTCCTGCTGAGCCCTGATGCCAGAGGAACTGAAGCGTTTGTATTTGAGACAGGGTTTCCCAATGTAGTCCTGGCTGTCCTGGACTCGCTCTGTAGCCCAGGCTGGCCTCGAAATCACAGAGCTCCCCAGCTTCTTTACTAGCCTCCAGCCCTCTCTTTTGGGATGGGATTGTTTCCTCTGTGACTTTATATATTGGACGCTATGAGACTTTTTGGGGCCAGGGATGGAACGCTGTGGTTTAAAGTCATATGTTTGGGTGTTGAGTTGATAAGGGGTAGACTGGTGATGGTGAATTTGGATTGTTAACTTAAGTGGTTTGAGGAACACCTAATCCTGGGGCATCAATGAGGCAAACATCGGTGTGTCTGCGAGGGCTTTCCCCAGCGAGAGGGAAGACACACCCTGAATGTGTGTGACATCATCCTGGTGGCCCAGGGTCTCAGACTGAATAAAAAGGGGAAAAGGAAAATGCTGCCAGTATTCGTCTCTCT